GGCTGAATGTGGTCTTCTGGATACTTTTGACTGCTGCATTTTGCCTTGGTGAGAAGGGGAATGGTGCCACAGGTGAGATAAATTCTGCCTTGCTGCCAAATACCATTTGCTCCCAGCTTCTGTGCAACAACTGCCACCCTCTATCTGTCGGGGCAACAGTAGTCTGACTCTATTTGAGACAGCAACAGCTGTTTGTTGCTTTCCCGGCTTTTGCAGAAGTAACAGCCCGGCTCTCTGTGTTAGGAGCAGCAGTTGTCCCTTCCAGCTTCGCTGTCTAACAACTGCCTGGATCTCTGCAGCAGGTGCAGGAGGAGCATTTTCAACGGCAGCTGCCGCCAGATGGGGAAGTCAGCTGCTTTCCTGTGATGTGGAGGTAGGCTAAAGCCTGCGCTGTTGAGGTGGGGGGTCACAGAGGGTCTCAAAACCCAGATCCAGCTGTTACGGCTGCCAGGGTCAGACCACCCTGCAAGGGATTTAGAAGAGCAAGTCTGTCATCCTGCATTACAGCTTTCTGGAAGCACCTCCTAGGTTTGTCTTGAATGCCTTGAAGTCTGTCTGCCCTCTGACTTTTCTCCTACTGAATTGTTTCCTCAGTGGCTACTTTGCTTCTTTTACGTAATGGTGATTAAGGTTACTGTGCCAGTTAAATAGGACCCCTAATGGTTAGCTGTGAGTCTTTCCAAGGGTAAGCTCTCCATCACTAAGGTGATGGTTAATCTGCGAAGCTATCTGAAAAAAATTTGGAGCAGCACTCTGAAATTTTATTATATGCAAATCTAAATCTGCTTGGTGGAAACACTTACCTGGCCTGGAAGAGCAGGATGCTAAGAAAGTTGTTTTAACATTCAATAACTATCTTCAGAATCTGATTTTGTGCATTCAGTGCAAAACAATTGTTTTCTCATTTTCACATTCGTTTTCCTCTTGTATGGTCTGAAAAAAACACAGAAGAGACTGCACAGTCTCTGGAGCTGGAGCTGCTGTGAAGGGTGAAAATGCTATCCTAGATTTAGAGGAAATGCAGAGAGGAGGAGAAGGAACTTCTTTTACCTTTTCTTCCCCTTTGTCCTTCAAAAAAAATTATTTGGTTTCTTTTTGATGTGTAAAGGTTTACAAATCAGTGAGCCTTGAAGGTTTTAGCTTTACTGTGGTGGTTTGTTTCTTTCAGTTTGATGACTTAGAGGATGTGCTGGTTGTTGATTGAATCAAGAGTTAGTAGTATTCTGGTAGGAATTTTCTTCTAAAATATTTAATGCCTTTTATTAAGTAGGTCTCTCATGAAAATAAAGCTGAAAAAATCTGTGAATAAAAAAAAAATCTCAACTAGTATCACTTTACTTTCTTAGTAACAAAGATGTGTTTTTGCATCTTCGGAGCTCATCTACTTTGCTATATTTTGAAGGTTTTTTTTCTTTTGGTTCTGCACAAATGTAACATGCTTTTTTTTCCCCTTTTCAATTTTTTTGTTTGTTTGTTTCTTGCTTGGGTAGAATGAAAGATATAAAAATGTGCAAAAAATCTTTATGTAAACCCTCTGACTTTTAGTCTGCCTTCCTAAAAAAGTAAGACATATAGGCTTATGGTGCCCAGGTGTCCCCACAAATAACTTTTGAACAGCTGGACTCATACCAATTAAATGCTTCCAGATTTCATGAAAATACAGCCAGGTAACATGGAAAGAAGTCTATCAAAAGAAGCCCTTATAAATATTACATATTTATATGTAGGAAAAAATTAAATCAGCCCTTGCAATTAGGGATGAGAGACAAACCCACGAGGAACCAGACTTTGTTAGTTTTGTGGCTCACAGAACGTGTTGATTTCCTGTGTGTGTTTCCCTACAGAAAACAAAGGCAGAAGCAGTCCAGGTTGTTCTGGGACTAATCTGCTGCTCCAGGAGTCCTTGACATCACATCATGCTTGCCAGTGAGGGACAACTACCTGTCTTGTGTGCTTAATTTCTTAGGGAAAATTCAAAAGGTGCAAACCAGATGATTTTCTTGAATTCATCTTGCATGGTATGATGCAGGTTTTGGTGTGGTTGTTTGTTTTTGTTTTTTTTTTTTTTTTGGTCTTGCTGATGTTTAGACCGGTGATGGATCATGACTTGAGGTAGGGATTTGTATATGGCAGTGTGTGGTGTCTGAATCAATTCTCCTCTTTCATGTTGAAATATTATTCTGAAAAACATTAGTTTGCTGCAACTGTGACGTTAACAGGGTGTTTTATGGTTACATCGATAAGTAGCACTCATTCATTCACTGTTGTCATTCAGAAATGTTTGTTTTCTGTTTCATTGACAACTAGCAAAAATAGTCCATCTGGAAAGTGAAATCTTAGTTTTAGAACTCCTCAAAATTACATGTTAAAAGTGACTGTAAAAAATGGTCCAAGAATTTTCAACAGAACTGCTTTCTTTGGCTATTAAGAATTCTGATGTGTTTTAAATTTTTAGTTACTGTTTATACCTGTGTGTTCCTGTTACCCCAATGACTCTGCATTGCTAAGAGGGAAAGAGCAGGGTTCTATTTTAGGTTGTAAATCACCAGCAAGATGATTTAGGAAGGATGCAGACATACAAGTGAATTAGTTGCTTAATTACTCTGCCTCTGCTGTGATGAGGTAGCTCCTTTCACTGTGTGCTCTGGCAGAAGAGTAAGCTAATTTTGTTTAGTTTATCTCAAAATAAAAGTATGCCGAAGTGAGCTGAATTGATTGCGGTTAGTATGAGCTAAGAGTGTGCATATGGACACTTGCAAGTCAGCTGAGCTGCAGGGGTGATACGGAAGAGGGAGCAGCTAAAACCGGTATTTGAGCCCTGAATTCTAGGCACCCTCTCATCAACTTCATCCGCACAGCCCAGGGTTGAAAACAATATGTTGTTGGTCAGGTTCTTATTGTAGGTTGGAACACAACTTAGTTCTTAGAAAGGTCATGCAGAGTTTGCAGGGCTGATAAATGAGAAATAGTAACTTTATTTCTGTAATGACCAGATTTTTAAGTGTATTTCACTTAACTGTAAACAGAACCTCAGACTGTCACTTCTGCAGAACTTTTTCTCAAAGTAAGAATACTTTGCAGCAGAGCTGTTGACATCAATTTCAGTGGCAGGTTTATGGTAGTGTGAACCCTCCTGTGATTTCAGAAATGACAAGCTCAAGCCCTGCACTCCTCAAGCTTACCTGGTGTAAGTGTATATAACCTTCGCATTTGCTGGGGAATGTGTTAAAGTGTTGTCTCATTTTTAGCTTCAGAAGTAACTGCAAGAAGTAATGAAAAAGAAGGCAAAATGATGCTTCTGAAGAGCAAACCTGTTGGTTTGGTTGTTTTTTTTTTTTAATTTTTTAGCACTCCAGATGCAAAGTGGGTGAAATTCAGTATTAACACAACATGCTGTGAGCAATGGAAGAAATTCTGTCTTGTTCCAGAGAGAATCAACCTGGCCATGAGAGCATTGTGGGTCAATAGAAACTGCTGCCTCCCCTCTGCAGGCAAAAAATCTCTAAAATGTCTTCTTGTGATCCCTGCGGTCCTCTAGACTGGTCCATTTTGTGTAGACATACTGCATGTAATGCTTCATAAGTGTGGAATTCTTCAGTGTTGAATTTGGGAAGATAGAATGGGCCTTGAATTTCTCTGTGATTTCTTTTCTACTTTTTATTTCTTCATTGTTGTAAATAGGGAGAAAGGTCAGAGCATGGAAAATGTATGACCTGATGGCTTTTTATGTCTTGGGAAAAAAAAACCGTGTCTGTTTCTGTGCCTAGCCCCCTTTTTCTCTTATCACATAAAGGAAAAACAGGACTATATATCTTTGGACTCAGGAAAACGGATCTGTTTGCTGCTGCTAACTCTCTCTCTGTTACTGCTGAAAGGTTGGGATTTTTTAATGTAGTTTTATATAGACTTTATATAAACTTTTTATATAACTGTGTGGTGGAGCAGAAGGAACATGATCATGTTTCAGATCTTGTAAAAGTCTGAACTCATCTTGTATGCTTGAATACAGAGCATAGCTTTGATTAGGATGAAAGATAAATTCCAGAAAGAAACTTAACTGTTTCCATTTTTCCCCTCTGGTGAAATATATATGATGTCCTTCGATGTGAATGGTAGCAAATATGTGGCAGAATGAATAGCAATGCTCTGCCTGCTGAAGTTGCATAGTTGAAAAGATATGGGTATCAAAAAAAGAAAGCAGGATGCTGCATCAAGGTTTTTGCTGAGTAGAGGTGCTCTCGTATTTGGAATTAAGCTCAATTTACAATACCATTTTGTGGGATGTTATCACTACTTTAAAAATGCTATTGTATTAGATTTCTTGAACTAAGTAAAGCCAGAGTATAGGGCTAGAACAACATGCAAGCATTTTTTCTGAAAGGAAAACATTGTAAATATTTCATTATATAGTCTTAACTTTAAATAGTTTCACAAGAGGTACTCATTTGTACATGCAGTAGTAAGTTGGCACTTTCACGATCAAAAAGTCATACTTGCCACCTTCTCTTCCTCTTACACTGCACTGTGTAACACCCAGAGTGAGTAGGGGTGTAAGACGATAGTGGAGGTAATAGGGTTTATATATGTGTTTCTGGCTTTAGACAAAATATTTCAGCCATCTCAAACGTAATTTTAAGTATTAACTATTTTTGTGCTCCCTTTTAAGGTAGTATGAGTGTTTCATAATTTTGAACGCAGAATTCTCAAAACGCCTTTATGGGGCAGCACTATTGTCCTAATTTTACAAATAACTACTTTGTCTTGCTTCCCTAGGTGGCTTATTCAAGGTTACACAAGAATCCTCTGGTGGAACAGGGAATTATATCCAAATGTTTGATGTTTAAAACTTGAAACCTGATTTCTGGATTACCCTCTCCTAACAGAAATGGAAGACCTATACCTTTTCTGTCATTTTACTGCAATTAATTAAGTTATAAGTATCAATACTCTGATTTTGATCAATGCTTTTAATTCTGTTTACTGCTTCTTTTTCTTTTTAGGCATGTACTGGTATTGAAAATATTGATGAAGCTATAACGTTGCTTGAACAAAATAACTGGGATTTAGTGGTAAGTATTCTAAGAAAATGACTTCATAGATCAACTTCATGTAACAGTGACATGCCATCTTGCTGAGACAGCTATTATCTTTATTTCAAATTTTGGTGTGTCTTATGGCTGGGGCAAGCAATTTATGTGTAGACTGTTTCTGGTCTGTTAAAGCTTCATTGCTAAGTTAACATGATATTGAGTTGTATATACCCTGGTATACTCTGGTTGTCTTCATACCTTTTTGATTTGTTTCTTTTCCTTTAAATCAATGTTTCATATTGTGTTTAGTTTCCTTTTTGGTTAATTGTATGCATAATTTTGTAAGTAGTATAATTAAGGGTAGCATTTTTAGAAGACATCTTGTGTATACACACAAGATTTTTGAGGATTTAGGTGCCTGTTGAAGAAATGGAAGGTAAAAAAACTTCTTCAATCTTTCATATGGTTTTAGTTTAAAAATAAGATAGTTGCTTTTCTATTGTTAGTTATGCAGAACTGAGTCAGAGATTAAGGCCATACCTTATTTGGATTTGGTGTTATCCAGACATGGTTAAACACAAACAAAAAACCCAACAAACAAACTCATCCTAAAAAAGCCTATCGTCTGTTTTGTAACAAGGTTCAATGTGCAGACAAATAGGAGGAAACCAATAAAACAAGCAAAACAGTCAGGTATTTTAAGACTCTGCATAAGATTATCAGGATAAATAAAGAAACTATTAATCCATTTTCTTAAGGTTTAAAAGTGTAAGATAGAACAAACAATTAAAAAGCAAGTGATCTTCCTTTAAACTGCAATATCTTTGATTTCTTTCTTTTTTTTTTTTTTCTTTTCCAAATAAGTGATCTTTGGACCAGTCCAAATTATCAGAAAATTATTTAAAAAACATAATCAAATTAGATTTTCCAAAGTTGACTATGGATACAGTTTCAACTGTCTGCCACATTGTGTTCCCAGCATATTGTTTAGAGTGTTCTCTGTTTTAATAATTACAAACAAAGTATCACAGAGGTTAAGGTGGGGTTTCAAACTGAGTTTGTTAGAGTGAATATTGTGTTTCTTTTAAGGCGTAACGATTAAAATGACATGTAATACTGTAACCTATTGTAAACAAATGCTATGTACTCCAAACACTTGAAACTAAACGTTTAAAATAAATGTTGGCCAAAGTATATGGAGTCTTTATTTTGCAACACATCATGGTATAAGCAAGAGTGAGACACCAACGAGCAAAAGGGAGCACATATCATCAGTGTCTTCAAACAGAAAAACCCAAATGTATGTTGACAGAGTGATATAGTTAAAAACATCTTTTGTCCTAGTAGTTTGTTGTGGCTTAGCATGGGCCGTTTTGAAAATTAAAGTATTTATGGGAAGGCAAGGAATAGCCTTATGCATTTGGTTCAGGTTGTAAAGTTCTCAGTATAATGCATTAAATCAGTTGGATGTGGTTTTGGAGGACTTGCAAATTGTAAAGTATATGCTTTACAATAAATGCTCACAGGTGGGGTTGAATGAGAAAATTGTGATGAAAAATGGTAAGAACAACTAAGAACAACGGTTTTGATTTTTTTTTTCCTTTTCTTTTGAGACTCCAGAATGAGCAGAAAGGGAGAGTGAAGTATTTAAAGCTATGAGAATGGCTATGAGAATAGCTTTAAATACTTAATTTTATTAGTGATGATTAAATGATCTAGAAGTAGAATATAGTGGGAAAAGTGGGAAAAGAAGTAATGACCCAAAAATGCAAGCTTAAAAAAAGGCATATGGAAAGTAAGAGAGGAAAGAATGTTAGGGATGTGAGAGGTACTTCAGGAAAGTATATAGTTCTTCAAACTAAGGAGAAGATGAATGAGTGTCTATGAAAAGGAAGTGGTAAGTTGTGGAAGAAAAAAAAAAAAATTGGGGACAGTAAGAGTGAAGAAGATACCCTAAGAGTCTGTCATTAGTAGGACACTGTCTCCTTTTTATTAAAGGCAGTCTTCTTGTAAAAAAGGGAGTGAAAACCAAATCATGCTAATCTAACAGGGAGTTAGAAGCAGAAGAGTGAAGAAAGAGGAGAGAAGACAAAAGAAATGTGAATGTAAGAAGAAAAGGATTTGCTAGCTTGAGAGAGAAACATCTCTTTGTTAGGCTAGGGATTTTAGCATTTCAAAAGTCAAAACAATACATGAAAAAAAGCTCATGACTTGAGAGATACAGCATTTTTTATTTTAAAATTAAAAGTGTACGGTCCATGTGTGGGTTTTTGGGGGGGTTTTGGTGGTTTTTTTTTTTTTATAATACCTTTTATTCTGTAGTCAAGTACAGATTCAGTGCCAAGAAATTGGGAAGGAGGGAAGGCTTCATTTTGGTGGAACCAAAAGGTCTTGGAGTTTTTTAGCCAATATGAAAAATTAAAAAAAAAATCCTTTTGCTTGGCACTAAATATTTTGTTCAATGCAGAACAAAACATTTTTGGGATTTGTAAGGAAAACAAACTTTGTAGGACTTAGTTCAAAAATCTTGAAGACAGTAGTGAAGTTGTGATGATTTTGATAAGGGTTCCTCTATCGTCCTTTGACCACCAAACTGTTAGGTAAGCAGGAAGAACATCATCACTCTCTTCTCTAATTTCACTTAGTTTTGTGCATCTTATTCAGAGGCTTATTTCAAGTTCAAGTTTTTGATAAATATCTGAATTCATAGATTGGGATGAGCATTTTTATGACATGTATCTTTGTTTTAAAAAAAAAAACCAAAACCAACCCATTCTTTAGGTGATTTTACAGTTCTAAAGTAAAGAAGTAGTAGTAAAATATAGTCATACAGGTGTTCAGTTTGTTTTTTTTTTTTTTGGGGTGGTGGTGGTTTTGTTTTTTTTAAAATGTGGATTCCTTTCCTCCTGATTTTGGAAGTAAAATCAGAGTTCTGGATTTGATCAGGAAAGCTTCTGTGAGGCACCCAGGGCAATATGAAGTAGAAAGCTAAGCAAGTCCCATTAGGAGGTGATCAACCTAAGTTCAGAGGCAATTCCGCAGCATTAGGGAAAAAACCAAAAACATAAGGAAGTTCTTGTCTTGGAAGAGATTGCTTTCTTGCTCTTCATTCAGGCTGTCTGTATCTCAATTCCATTTTCCTGTTTGGGGAAAAAAGTCATGCACTGTCAGAGTCTGTGCTAGGGACCCAGATTGAAGATTCCCTTGAGCACCTGTTGCTTCTTGAACTTTATGAGACTCAACTCAAGGGCTTTGTTATTCCTCTGGGACTTCAGTCAAAACAACCAAGAGCAAGTAGTGCTGGTGAGTTGGAAAGCAAAAGGATCCCAAAACAGAAACAGTGAAGTACTTGCTGACAAAGTAGTACATCAGAATGCACAGAGACAGCAGAGGTTATATAGTTCACAAAACAAGTTTCTAATGTCATGCTACAAGTACTATGTTTTTGTGTAAGCTTTTTTGAGGATTTGTTTGCACTGATGCAATATTCCTGCTGCTTATTTTCTCCATACTTTTTTTTTTTTCCCTTGTCTTGCTAGTAGATTTTAGTATCAAGGGTTAAAATGTCACCAATGTCTTTCCTGTTACTTCAGTGAGTGTTACTGTGTTTTGTATCTTTTGGACATTTGGTCTTACCTTTAAACAAAGCCAAACCTGAGTGAAGTGTAAGGAACTCCTTTCTTGGTTTAGTTTTTTCTGGTAGCCACTTATGGTTTTTATTAAGAATTCATCTGAATTCTTTTTTCTTTTCAGTTTAGAACTGAAACATCAGCTTCCTATTTTTGAACTTTTAAAGATTGCCTACCCCCATTAGAAGTCTTCATGTCTATTCCTCTATATGCGATACTTTAAGACAACATGAACTGCCATTAATTTATCTTTGACTTGGAACTAAATAAATTGGATTTAAATGTCTCAGAGTTGTATATGTTTTAGTGTCCAAATCATGTTTGTAGCTGTTTGAAGTGATATAGGAAACTGTCTTTCATAAATGTTTGGTTGCTAGGCTTTGTTCAAGTGCTTAAAATCAAATTGATCATGAGAGTGCTGCAGAAGAATTCATATGCAATAACAGCATGTAAATTGCTTGGTGGGATCATGAAGTCTAATCTTGCCAATAATGAAGTCTAATCTTGCCAATAATTAGTTCCCCACCGTTGTGTATGAGTTGGCCTTTATGGTGGTCTGCTGCATATATAGCAGCTTAGGTTTTTTTCTCTATTAGAACATTGTAGCCTAATTACTAGGCTTATTATAGGCCGAACAATGAAATGTTACGGATGTTCTGTGAGATACAGAAGATCAACATAGATAATATGATGATCTCTTCAGGCCTTCATCTTTATGAAACTGTTCTGCAATAAATGGATCCAGCAACTCTCTTAAGCCTGCCAGGATTGCTGATATGTTATTTCCTGAGTGTCGTTTCTTTAGATCTATTTATTTACAATAGTTTTTAACATCTGAGTAAGCAAAAGTTAGGAATTTCTGTCTGTTGTAAAATCTGATGGTTTCATAGCTTGCCCATTTAACTATGACCTTCTGTTTTGGCATTTGAAGGTAAGAACGACGGTATAAATGTGTCTTAAACTTTGTGTAAAGACAATAAAACAAAAGTATGAAAAATCACAACTGTGTGTCTTTTGAAATGTTTCTGATGATAGTACAAATTTAAAGGAAATGACCCATGAATGTACTTCTTGATCCTATGCAATATGGACCTTTGTATATATGAGGTTATTACATAGGTAACAGCTCTTTGCTCTCCTCATATCAAATGCTTGTATCTGTGCATAAAACTTGGATTCCTGTACCTTTCACAGATTTAATGAAAAACTCAAAATCCTTCATATATAGCATGACTTTATATTCTGTACTGGTAATCAGAACAGGATTTTTGAATGAAAGGCAGGACTCACCATGCTTAATTTTCTACTTTTTCCAGTATGACCATTTCTTCTGTTACTCCTGTTCACTGGTTTTTAAAATTATTTTTATTACAATGTCTATTGGAAAAGACATGAAATGTAGGTACTGCT